CTTCCACTGATTGGTAACCTGAGAAACAAAGTTAATAAATCTTGCCAAAACTTCCATTCTTGCTTGTTAAATAGCAAAGGACTTCCTGGTTACAGAACCGCGCCGCGTTGAAATTAAAGTTGAAGCATTTTGGTAATGGGAGCTACAAAGTATCGTAGCGCTCAGCGACAGACAGAAGAGCCCCGAGTTTCATGAGTCTCACGAGACGAGTCCACGGGCCGGGACGACACTACGCAGTACAGAGTAGGGTCCTCGGGCAGGACACAATGCAAGATGCAGCCGGAAATGAGTAAACAAGCGTCAAATACTCGTAGTAAAACAGCGGACCCGAGTACAATACAGAGTCCTTGCAGTGGCTCCATGGCTCCTTTCCCTCGCCCTCTCTGACTTTGGTCCGTTCCTTTCCTCAGCACGAAACTACAAATAAATGAAACATTAAACACAACAAGGAAAGGCGCCAGAAGAGACCAGCGTGGTGCTGCATGGGAGGGAGGAGGGAATGGCATTGCATAAGGACAAAAAATGAATGCCGAAGACAACAACCGGATATCCGGGAACTTTATAAGGAGCTGCACCAGCAGGCCCCCGAAAAAGGACAACAAACGGCACCGGCGACGACGACGGGCGCAGGGACAACGAAGTTTATTTTAACTTTTGATTTCCGTGTCCTCTACCTCCAGCTCTCGCACTCAAGTGCATTGCATTGAGTGGCAAAGTTGCGCCTTCGAGAGGGTTTCAAGTCGTCCGTCCAGCATTAAAAATGAATTAAGTTCGGAACTCTCTAGAATTTCACTTTAATTTATGCCTGACTAAATTTTACAATTTTAAGAGCAAAATGGGATAATCCGTAGAAAGAGAATTTATTACACTATACCCGATACTCAAAAAGAGCTAGAAAAAATAGGCACTTTTTGCCATGTTTTGGAAAAAAAAATAATAAATAGCCATTAAAAATGTGTCCGGAAAGCAACAACTTTCTTGCTATATAAACAATGAATAAAAAAAATATTTTTAAAAATTTTTGAATGTTCTTTCCGCCTCCACAAGGAACGAAATTCAGTTGCATGCACAACTAAAAACTATAAAGGCAGAATCGTAGAGAATGACTATTTCTAGCAGATTGCCGATTTGGGATCATATCGGATCAATATTGTATCGAGAAGGAACAAATTAAATGGAAATTGCTACGCAACTCCTTCCACACGCTTACTTGTTTTCTGTCTTTCTCTCACACTTTTCGTCGTGAATGTGTGTGTCCATTGGCGGAGGGGAGCCATACTGAATGAGCATCGGGTATGCAAGTTAACGGACCCAATTCTATTGTGCTCTTATACGAGTTTTAAAAAATCGTTGGCTTTCTAAGACGAAAACAATTTCAATCTTGGGCCTCCGCCTAATTGGTTTTTTCAAGATATACATAAACAATCTAAATCTTTGGCTCCCACCACAAGCTCAATCTTTGGCTTCCGCCTAATTGATTTTTAAGATATACAATCTCGCACCCGGCTATCTGCAGATTCTGCACTTTGAGCATTTTACAGTTCTTAATCTTTTGATGATGAAATCCAGTATTCGGGATGGCGAAATCAATCGGGATGTTTATCGAAAAATTATTATCGAAAGGGATTGACGATGCAAAGATCAAAAAGATCAATTCTGTCTTGATCCAGAAGCGAAAACGAAAAGTCGAGCTAAAAACTAAGATCGCGCAAACCCTTTGTCCGGAATCCTTTGTAACCCTAAACTTAAGTCTATATCTGTCAAATTAGAAGTAAAAAAAAACCTTTTTAAAAACGCAATCCGCTACCGCAGTTATTTAATTTGCATGTAAAATGTCGTGGCCCTACAACGTTCCACTCGCTTATTAGTCGGTAATCGGGAAAAAAAACTCAGCAGGCTTTTGTTTTTACAATTTGGGTAAACGAAATACAACTTTTCAACATCAAGTAGGCACTGACATATGTTGGAATTCATTTGCACACTGTGAAGCCTGTTGAAATATTTAGTTTGTGTCGGGAGCTCAACCGGAGAGCAGCTCCGAGTGAAATTAAATTTTTCGTTTTCTTTTCGGAAAAAAATTATCTAAATTCTCTATTTTCGGCTAGAAATAAGAATAAAGTTTTAATAGAATTAAGAAAAAAGTTAAGCCATAAAAGTTTATCGAGCAGCTCACCCTTTTCCCCTTGTATGCCGTCCCCCTCCCCACTATTCTTTTTGAACCAACTCGAGTGAGTGTTAACCGAACGATTTTGATGTTGAATATAACTTAAAACCCTCTATACCACCAGATTTTCTACAACAAAACTACAACGAACAAATCTACTACGAGGATACACTGCATAATGCGAGATAGCGAGTACATACATAATACCCACTTCACCAACCGAAAGTGAGTATTAATGGAATTGTATCGGCGGCAAGCCACTAAAACTATGTAATTTCTCTACTCTTATCTGAAAGCTCGAGTGACGCGCTACACCAAAAGAATGTGAGTACTGATGGAATGGTTTTAGTGGCCAGCTATTAAAAATATATAATTTCTCTCCTATCTGCAGGTAAGACGCTCCTCTTAACATCCCGCAATCATAATATTGCTGGAACACGATCACAATACAAACAGGAACAGCCTTTCAACATCCTTCTGTGACTTCGACTTCTGTGACTTCCACAACACTTGCACACTTTTGTACTACATAAAAAAACTTATAAATATAAAACATTTTTACACCGAAAAAATTGTGTTTTATTCAATCTAAAGAGTTTGCTTTAGGGGTACACAAATGATGGAACATGTTAATTAACCGAAATTAACAGAAAAACAGCAAGAAAACCAACGAAATCGGGATCTAAAAATAATGCTCATGGAAATGGTCATAGAAAAAAGCCCATACATACAAAAATGGAAGCAAGTCAGAGCCAAGTTTCACAGCTCATAGATGGAGTTGGACTATAGGGGCTATCGGCGAGTGGGCTTAAAGTCCTTAAAAAGAAGATACATTTTATTAATCCATTAAGGTCCTTTCGGTATTTAATTATCCATGTAAATTGCAAAACTTAAAGAATTTTAGCGCAGGTGAAAGATATAAAAATACACTTTTTTGTATCCAAAGATGGATCTACAAACAAGTTTAGAAACAGAATTATTCTTCTTGGTTGAAAATCAACACCTGGGAAAATATATATGTTTTTTTCATCGGAAAATATTTGGAAAAGTGCTGCCAAATATTGGACGATTTTGAAAATTAAAAGCGCACAGTCTTTTTCGATAGCTCTAGATATCTTTTGTCTATTAAAGAAGACAACACTTTTAGTCGTCAAGCTAGACCTAGTGAAAGTGGGAGTTTCTGTAACGGCCCTCTATGGTACCGAAAATAAAATTTTGTTCTACTTATATGGTAAAAACGCCGTTTGGAGTAAAAACATGTCAAAACCTAATGTATATAATTTATTTTTGGTACTGGAAAACTGAACTGTAGTATCATCATGGAGCCTTTGAATTATTTTCCTTTTTTTCAGCACCAGTGTACTTACGCCGGATGCAGAATATGGTGGATTAGTCATTCGTAACGACAATAAACGGTTAGATTCCGGCAAAACTAGCTGTAAAACACATTGAGGCCATACTTGATAATAGACCAAGATACCTGAACTATACGGGACGACGAATATACTACGGAGCGGCTGAAGCTCCGATCATAACAGACAGGTAAACTCAGACGGAAACCGGAGAAAAGAAGTGAACGGCCATGGTCCCAGTGCAAAGACAGAAAAAAATAAATTTAATATGCAAATTTAATATTCTAATGGAAGTAGCACTAAAGAACTTCAGCAGATAAAGCCATGTTTGTATACAGAGAACATTCGATTTGTCAGAGCAGAAAATTAGGAAAAGAAATGATCGTTTTATTGAAGAGGATGAGTCTGAAGCCTGCAGAAGATTGACAAGGAAATGAAGTAACAGATTCAGTTCATTTTGCAAAACCTACAGTTGTCTCAAAATCGAACCTCTATTGGAAGGTAGTTCAATTAAAGTTTCGATCACCTACAATTGATAGATGGTTTCTATTAAGTCGCTTAAAACTATTATTTAATCTCATAACAGCCACAAGCACAAGCCAGAGGTTCTTTGACCCTTTCTGTCTTAGCTAGTCCGGTCCTGAGTGGTACCGTCGAAGCAGTAAGAAAGTTCAACATTGGCAACAAATTAAATTTAATGATGTTTGTTGCTGGAAGCCAAAGAGCTCGTGGAACAGCAACAGCAAGTAGCAGGAGCCAAATCAGCCGTCGAGAAGCAAAAATCATAAAAAGGCGAAACAGAGAAATTGCCAACTCTGGCAAATATTTGCCGACTGACGCTAATGAACTTGAGCATACAAATAGGCCACGAGCAGTGGCCAAGTCTGGAGATTGGTGCAGAATAATTTTCCCAGAAGACTCGCTCACGGTTCGGTTCTGTCACTGGCTTTGATTAAAGAGCTTTCCCTTTTTCAGCTTCCAAGAATTTCTCACGAATATGATAAAATGGGAGCGAACACCAGAAGAAATAGCAGATATAAACGAAAATTGGCTGAGTGAACCGGTAGTGCACAGTGGGGCATGGCTTCGGAGGCATGAACGTGTTTACACAAAAAATTTCTTGCCATTGATTGTAAGAGTGGGCGAAAGGTATGTCAACATTTCTCCTTTCTCGCATGTGAAGCGCTTGGGTGCCTCATTGATCGAGTATGGCCGCAAGAGTCAACAACTCCTTTGATACGCATACACCTCTTTGCTGGTCGGTTCCGAAAGGGTCTTTATTTGCCCCTGGCCCCGTTTGGGCTCGGGAAAAACACTCAGCAGGCTTTTGTTTTTACAATTTGGGTAAACGAAATACAACTTTTCAACATCAAGTAGGCACTGACATATGTTGGAATTCATTTGCACACTGTGAAGCCTGTTGAAATATTTAGTTTGTGTCGGGAGCTCAACAGGAGAGCAGCTCTGAGTGAAATTAAATTTTTCGTTTTCTTTTCGGAAAAAAATTATCTAAATTCTCTATTTTCGGCTAGAAATAAGAATAAAGTTTTAATAGAATTAAGAAAAAAGTTAAGCCATAAAAATTTATCGAGCAGCTCACCCTTTTCCCCTTGTATGCCGTCCCCCTCCCCACTATTCTTTTTGAACCAACTCGAGTGAGTGTTAACCGAACGATTTTGATGTTGAATATAACTTAAAACCCTCTATACCACCAGATTTTCTACAACAAAACTACAACGAACAAATCTACTACGAGGATACACTGCATAATGCGAGAGAGCGAGTACATATGTACATAATACCCACTTCACCAACCGAAAGTGAGTATTAATGGAATTGTATCGGCGGCAAGCCACTAAAACTATGTAATTTCTCTACTCTTATCTGAAAGCTCGAGTGACGCGCTACACCAAAAGAATGTGAGTACTGATGGAATGGTTTTAGTGGCCAGCTATTAAAAATATATAATTTCTCTCCTATCTGCAGGTAAGACGCTCCTCTTAACATCCCGCAATCATAATATTGCTGGAACACGATCACAATACAAACAGGAACAGCCTTTCAACATCCTTCTGTGACTTCGACTTCTGTGACTTCCACAACACTTGCACACTTTTGTACTACATAAAAAAACTTATAAATATAAAACATTTTTACACCGAAAAAATTGTGTTTTATTCAATCTAAAGAGTTTGCTTTAGGGGTAGACAAATGATGGAACATGTTAATTAACTGAAAGTAGGTCAGAAAAACAGCAAGAAAAACAACATAATCGTGGTCTAAAAATAATGCTGGTCATGGAAAAGCCCATACAGAAAGCAAAATGAACCCAAATATGCAAATAAATTTGCCGGCAAAAATGGAAGCAAGTCAGAGCCAAGTTGCACATTAACTTCCGCAGCTCATTAAGTCGCTGTCAGCCCATAGTAGACACGGGGCGGAGCAGATCGAGCTGGAGTATAGGGCTGTCGAGAGGGCGAGAGGGTTGGTGGAAAATGTATGAGAATTTATGTGACGCCAACTGGACGACAGGCAACCATGGGGCAGGCCCAACTACGTCCCTCTCAAATCCGTCTGTGCGAAAACAGAAATAAAATATTTACCCCATGTAAATTGTGGCAGACTGGCAGGGCGGCCCCCTACAGCTATATGTATATATAAATATATATCCAAATAGATAAATCAGCAGAGGGCGCAAAAAATTGCTGAAAAGGTTCAAATGAAAGTGTCGTCGCTTTAAATGAGAGCCCGGGAAAACGTCCAAAACAAAGTCGAAATCTGCGCTCCCCCATTTGGCCTCAAAGTTTAATTAGGCCGTCAGCCTTATTTTTTTCCGCTGGTCTATATAGGAAATGCCTTGAATTTGTGTGCTGTTTTTTTTGCGGGGCGAAGGTCATGGGATGTCTTGCGGGCCATGGGGCAGGGCGGTCAAAACTAATTAGTGGCCATTTTGTGCGCGTTTTCAGTTTAATGAAATTTTAATATGAATTTAATTGAAATACTGTCGGGGGAGGTTGTCCATTCCCTTCGGGTTGAGTGACATTGAAATATTAATAAATATCTGGAAAGCTCTGCAGTTAGTATTTAAGTTTAACAAGGGAGTACATTGCTGGTACGTTTTTAGAGGATCGTAGGATGAAGAGATTTTTAGAAATACGAATAACAATCTGGGAGTATGCACATCCTTTTACTTTGATGGCCACTAAGAAAAGCGATTTGTTGATCTATTTTTAGTCTTCTTCTGTGGACCAAAAATCCCGCCGAATCTTGAAAAATTTCCATGCTTCAGTCTCTGACAACAAAGCGGGAAATAATGGATATTAAATATATCCTAACCACTTTTAGCACTTCACGAACTAAATTATAGAATTTTGTACTTACTTGCTTTGACCTAATCTTCTTCCCAGAGAAAATTGCAACCAATTTCGTGGGGTCTCTTAATGTTTCTGACTATCTGTGTCTCTCTAATCTCTACACTGCACTGTCTAATTAGAGGCGAGAGTGAATTGTCAGCAACAAATGCCCGATGGCAACAAAAAAAAAACAGCAGATTGAACGAGTTTAATTTAATTTTCAGTTTCGCTTTCTACAGTTGTTGCTTGTGTTGCGGATGCTTATGGCAGTGCCCCTGGATGCGGCAGTATAATTAAACACACGCGCTGCGGAAAACGCCCGACGAATCGACGCAGCGCCTACGAGGAGGTGCTGAAGAGCAGGCGAAACAGAAATTTATGAAAAATGCATGAACATGGCTCATACAGTCCGTCGGTAATACAGACACACATACACACTGACCGATTATGCCGGAAAGCTTCTTAATACTTTTTCGTTATTGTTTTCCACGAGTTTAGGGGCTGCGGGGCTGCTGCTGCGGAGGGGACAATGGTCCTGGGCTCTGAGTGTGCCTGAGATCCAATTCGTTGCACGTTATCAATGGAACTGCTGATTTTTCTCGCCATCGTCGCAAGCATCGCCTCAGAATGGGATTTTCGTATGCCCGGCTTACCGTTCGTCGTTCGTCGGCGCTCTACCAAATGATGGTCGGTTTTCTCGGTCGCTTCGCTCTCTCTCAATGGCGATGGCTCCTGCGCTCAACTTGACGAAACTGCCGAAGAGCTGAGAATATTCTGAAAGAGAGAAAGCTGCAGAGTTTCCTGGGAAATTTAACGGTTATATTTTGTTTAAAATTCGTTAGCATAGGCGCGATGTTAGGTTTAGCAGTATGTTAGCACAGCAGGAGCAGAAAGAATCAGAGTCATTTGAAAAGCATTTATCCCGTCTATTAATAATTATTTTAATTAAAATACTTTATTTGCGAATCTGAAACAAAACGCTCGCATTTTGTAGTCTTACACAGAACAAAAATACGATTTAAAATCTCCCATAGCGATTCGACTTGCCTTCAATCAGTCCCAAAACTGTTAAAATATTGGGAATTATTTTCATAGACTTCGAGTTTAAGCTTTAGGAATTTTAGGAATTTTGATTCTTTCAAATATTATTACAGGTCAAAGTTTTACTTATTACTGAAACTCTACAAACAATATTTACTATAGAGGAGTAAATACGTTGCATATTCTATATTTAGAAAGTATGCGAATATTTTATTGACTTATTGTCAAGTTCTTACCACCAACCACCATTTTGTAATCGGGATTTTGGTATTTTTATATGAACAAAACCCGAAAACCCTACGCAAAATGTAAACATATTCAAGTATGAGTTGATCTATTTGTGTGTTTTATGAATGGGAAAATTATTATCAGTAAATACGAAAATTTGGTAAATTTGTATTAGTTTTTTTTAGTAAACAATGCCATTTGGCCGTCGTACGAATACAGCAAGAAGCATGCTTAATAGTAAAGCATGATACCGAAAATGTGCGTGTGAGCAGGTCTCAATTGCGTGAACCTCATTCACCACCAGAACCATTGAACGGCTTGTTCATGGGCACGGATCAGCTAATAAAATTCATTATAGTGTTTTTACACCGTCGGGAACCAATCAGATGGGTCCGTAGCGTAGAGGTTCACTTTATACCGTCCGCCCTGGAATGGGTATTAAATGCCCATTCCATATGATTATATGTTAATCAAGCGTAGGTTTGATGTATAATTTGGAATAGGTGGAATGTTTTACCCATCGGTCCGAAAATAAAGTACAATTATTTTTCCAACAACAGGCATGTTTAAATAATTATAATTGATTAGCTTAGGACCTCCATACACGAATCTTTTGCCAGACAAAACCCCATCCTCTGACGCCACTCTGCTCACGCCCTTTTTCCTCTCTATCTTCCACCCTATAGGGGTAAGAGTGGGATGCAGTTCAATTAATTGCTATTAATTACGAATTATACATTTAGCGCTTAAAACCGAGTCAAGGAATTAGGAACATGTAAGCCAACAACAATGGATCCCACACACGCATTACAGGTAAGACAGGGTGGTAGAATAGACACCCACACCTATGTAAATACACCGAAAAAAATTATTATGTGAATTAATTTGAATTATCTTTGTTAAAATTTGTCTATAGCAATCGCTTGGACAATTGAAAAATATTTATTAAAGTCTCATATCACTCATTACCTAGTGGAAATTTATATTTTTTCTGAGTGTACAAATATGAAAGATTCTTCAACGTTTCTCGCTTCATAAACACAGAGCACACATACATATACATATACCGCACACACGAACCCACGTATTTAAAGCGCTGAAAATCTTTTATGACACGTTATTAGTTAGCTCCAAGGAGAAGAGAGAAGGGGCGGAGAGAAGGGGGCGTATTCCGGATGGGGTGTACAGAGAACGGAGGGTTGGAAGGAGTACGAGTGAAGAGAAGAGACCAAGACGGAAGGCGGAAAGCGAGACGTTTAATATGCTTAATGTAATTATGAAAATCGCCTAGAAGTAACCCCCTGCCTGCATACAAATGAAAGCGTAATTCATACGAGGACTGAAGAGGTATGGGAAAAGCCTTGTCTGCCATAAAAAAATAATAATATATTCAAATGTTGTTATTGTCGCGGTACATTTTGAATGGCTTTAAAGAAAATATAAGTCTAAGAATTTATTGTATCATGCTCGGTATTTAAATACAAAAAAAATGCTCCGCAAAAAGTTAAATTATTAAATTAAACGAATGTATCTAACAGGATCCATTAAACAGCTGAGCTGAACGCCCTAGTAGCTAGTGCTCGAACAGTTTTTAAGTTAAATTACTATGCAATAAATAAAGAGACAAAGTCTTCTGGGCCGATCGTTTACAGAGCCATGGCAACTCCAGACATAATAAAGTGAATCTGAGAAAATTATTGAGATACAACCAGACAGACAAATGGAGATGGTAGTGTCTCAAAAAGGTATTGAATTCGGATTCCGCACATGTATTTTTTTTTATTGGCTCATTTGAAGCCTCGTCAGCCTCCATCAAAATTAACTAATTGAGCATTCGTGCGGAGGGGAATTGTAAAGACTACACAAAAAATTATCAAATAAATTTAAAAGCCATATTTTTTGCCTACTTTTAGACTTATAGGCACGTGCAGGCGCTAAAACTTTCCATGGAAAAATCTTCTCCATATTCATAAGTCAATTGAAATTTATGACACAACACATGCCACCAGCATCCCTATACCCACAAGCTCCGCCCAACGGAGCAAATACTTTGTTTATCTGAGGAAAAATATTTATATACGGAGTATAAGCACCCAGCCCCCCGCAGACGGGCTTGCTGTAATAATTTACAAAGCATTTTACGCTTCGCTTCGCCTGCCATCTGCATTAGCCGCAAAGTCAGTTCCGAGGAGAATTTCGGAGTGAACAAATAAATATGTTTGCATAAGGTAAGCATCCTTGATCTACGGTCTGTTTTTTGTCTCCCACGTGGCTCAGGTTTGTGTGGTTCAGTGAGGTGAAAGTCTGAGCGATGGTATGGGGATCTACGACGTACAAATATGCAATTAGGATGGTCAATTAGGATGGACAATTATGAAGGAGAAGTGTCAACTTATTTTTGTGTACAAAAGTCACGGAACTGAGTTTTTGGTGATAGAAGAAAATCTCATACCTTTCATCTCATTATAAATCTTACTTTTACGAACAATTTTCCTTCAAATAATTCAATCCTTATTTCACACAACAAAAACAAC